GCAATAACTCAACAACGCCGTAACCGAATTTCAAAAACCAAACATGAAATGATATCAGAATTTAACGTAGCATCTGAATATGTAATGATATACAGGGCGTTCTATTTCAAAAAATGGAATTTTGGTCTGTAGCACCTACACCAAACACCCTGTATATTTAAAAATTATATCAAAATATAGCTCTCATGAACTCCTAAACGTAGGACTTTCCGAATTATTTTTCATTTTTCAGTACATTTTTCAATGAAACCGTTCGACATAATTTTTTTTACCTCTTTCAGAAAGTACCAAAAATGATTCCTCTTCATAAAAATTTTGTACGACCTAGATATCTTGCCGCGGGTTCAAAAGTCATTAGTGAGGGATGGAGGGCTATTGACGTCCGCACTGTATTGTCGGAAATAACCCGCATGTTTGAGTCTTCCGGAATTTCGATTCCCCTTGAATTTTTGTCAAATACCTCATAAAGTTTATGTAGAGTTAAAGTTTAGAATGGGACGCTGTGGCTTCTCCCAAAATTGTTGAAAAATTAAAAAATCGAATCAAAGTTATCTTGTCGCCTCAATATAAATATTTATCACCCATTAAACTCTTTTGAATACCAATTTTGTGATATTCAGGGTTTACTTACTCCTTATCTTTCTTCACCTCTTTCCTTAATTAAGTAAATTTGAGAATCATAATCTCCAGTCCAAGCATCACGATCCTCTAGTTCAGGCAAGCCTACCGCCAAAACTACATAGGTTTTTCAGTTTGTTTTGACCTGCGTAGGCTTACTACCAATTTTGATCAGTTTGTCTCTCAATATGAAAACCTTGTCTATAATACAAAATATAAATTTTCATTAAATATACTTATTCATTCACAGGTATAATGAAAATTATTTACTGTGATGAGAATGTCAGGCAGGATTATGTTTATGTCGATAATCTGGTTAAAGCAATGCTGGTGGCTTCGTGGAAAATGGCAACCGAGTGAGTATATTGTGTATATAATTGTTGTTTTCACTCCACAGCTATGATATCAGTTCCGTACAAAATGTTTCACTACAAATAATTTGCTCGATTCAGTAACAGATTGCTGAAAAATTCATTTTGAAGTACAAACAGTGAATATTTTGAACTTGTCTAAATCAAAAAACTTGTCACGAGTTTTTCAGCAAGTAGATTTTGTGCGAAAACGCGTGAAACGTAAGCCGTTGTAATACCTAGCAAAGGCTACGTATTCCAGCGGCGTCCCTTGAGGACGCCGCTAACGAGCCATTAAAATAGCGATATGCGACTGCGACGCGAAAACACCGACAAAGAATGCGAAAATACCGCCATAAAAACCGCTCGATGTTTTTTCTGATATTACGTTTGAGATAATATTAATAGGCGTTGGACTGGGGGTATTAATATAAATTTTCCATTGATATATTCTGTATGATGGTAAGATAATTGAAATATGGTAAAAACTGATTTTGTTTAAATATTTTATTTTGGGAAGGATCAATTTAAATCGCAATATTATAATTTGTAGTTATGAATCGTCTTTTGATGTAAATAAATTTGATATTATTATTATCATTGACACTGATAATATCAAATTGATCGTCGGTTTGATAATGAAGGTGGATAAAATATTCGAAACATCACCAGATAAGTATACAAATAGAATAGATTTTCGTGGTTNCCTACATTTTATTACAGATTTAAATTATTAATAAAATTCTTGAGCTGTTTCATATCACACACTTTCCATCTTCCATCGTTTCAGAAGTATATGACATTGAATATAATGATATTTTATTCACTTAACATTCAAACAAAAGGTACAATAAAAAAACACATTCAATGGTAAATAAATACATACTACCCAAAAAGGCAAGCCTTGGTAGTGGGAGTAAAACTTTACAAAAGTAATAGCCTAATTATTAGCCTAAGTATTAGCCTAATAGGAGATCTGGTCAAAGTAAACAAAATACCAAAAGGTGGACCTTTACTACAGTGAAATTGTCTACGTAGATCCAGAATTTCGAAATCATATCATGGATATTAAATTCAAGTATGAAGTCTAAAGTATATAAAATCTAGAAAAAATAGTGTTTTATATGTAGAATGTAAACATGGTGTCGCAAATATAAAATAAAAGTAATGTATATATAAAATATCATGGAAGAAGTTTTGAGTGAAGAGAGAATAATGTTTTATATATTAAATATGAATACCAAAGAAACAGTAACGAAAGAATACTCATAATGAGGGAATACTTATATTATAGAGCAATAATACACATTCAAAATACCCTGTTTGGCAATTGTGTCTTTAAGCTGTAAAATGGCAAAATAAGCTTTATTAGGCAGCTTGCAGATGTGCTCTCGTAAGGTTAAAATTCATAAACACCGTTTTCCCATGGTTTGAAATAAGTTCATTTCTTTGACTCCACGCCTATACTTCGTCAAGCGAGTTTTGTGGTAAAGTTCCTCCTCAGTAACACGCAACACAGTAACAGCGGTATCGCCAGCATACGCAGTGGTGGCACCATATTGAATATGATATGGTGAATCATTAACATAAATAAAAATTGTAGTGGGCCTAAAATAGCGCCTTGTGGAACAGCGAGAGTTACGTCATGCCTGTCCTATTGAAATTCATCACATTTTACAATTAGTTTTCTATTTTCCATGTAGGAGTTGATATAGCTTAGGAGACATCCTCTTATACCGATATTATATAATTTTTTAGACAGTATGGTCCTGTCCACAGAATCAAAAGCTTTAGATAGGTGAAAAAAATAGAGTTAAAACATATTTGTAAAATGTGCGGATGCTGTCTCTATTTATTTTGATGGCCTAACTCCATGTTGACAATCTGTAAAAATTTTGTTCACTTCATAAAAGCACACTATCCAAATTTGATAATTTGAACGTAGAACATAACGGAAATATGAAAGTAATACATTCGCGAAACGACATAAAGTATTTATTTAGGAGAGATAGATAAACACTTGCGCTGGGATCTTCACATAACGAATATAACGAAGACATTAAGATGCTTATTATATAGAATCAGAAAATCAAAATACATACTTGACATTACTTACATCTCACTACGCTCTCGTTCAGTCAAGACTACAATACGCCATTCTCAGCTGGGGTGGTTTAGTCAAAACCCATTTGAAGCAGAAGGATGTCCTCCAAAAAAGAATTTTGAAAATAATCTATGACAAAAAAACAACTGCTCCTCACTGTTGAAAAAAATTGTGTTAATTCACATAACATTACGTTGGCAACAAATGGTGGCCCTCCGCATTATGCAGCTCCAGTGCGACAATTTTTGGAAGATCATTTCCCTGGTCGCTGGATTGGCAGAAGAGGTCCTACAGAATGGCCATCAAGGTCTCCGGATCATACTCCTTTAGATTGCTTTTATGAGGTCATTTGAAATCTGAAGTGTATGAGATAGAATCAACAACATTAGAATATTTGATAGAGAATATCATGAGGCATTGCAGAGAAATACCTCCCGAGATTCTCAATCATGTGAGGGAAGCAATAGAAGATTATTTGTACCATTGTTTGGATGTTGGTGAAAACGTTTTTGAACATTTACTGTCGAATTTTTTTGTTCTCATTGTCCAGTCATCAGATTTTGATTAAAGAATTATTAAAAAAATCTCTTTTTCTGATTTATTGCTTCCATATTTGTCTCTAGAACGAATATTTCCAAATATGACCTCCTGTATAATTGTTGACCGGTTGTTTCATTTTTCCTGCAAATCATTTTATTGAAATTTATTCAGTATAGCTCGTTTTCCACTCAAATAATTTGTAGCTCCCGAACCATGAGCTTTAGACCATATGTTTTATACTTTGTTGAAATCTGCTCAGAGCATCTTGGGATCAATAAAAATTATCAATATTATTATTGTTTTTTTTTTACATAACTGTTTTGATCAAAAATTGCCCCGATCTGATAGTTCTCCTTCAGAGAACAAATCATTTTGGGATCAGAAAATATCTGAAATTATTCACCATGAGCAATATTTTGAACTACCTACAATATTTTTTTTTAGTTGTACCAAGTATACTTGAACCAGTTGTGGGATGGATAGATAACTTCAATGGACCAATGGCGATGATTGTTGCAGCAGCCAAAGGTAAGGAGATTAGGAAATTATGAGCTGTTCGTGCTTTTTTATAAATGTGAAGGCAGTGTTATTCATTCATGATGATAGTTACAAATCTTCGCAGTGTAGACTTTATTGCAATTCATACAAATTATCGATTTCAAATAGTAGAAATNCTTGTTTAAAAAGGTATACAAATTGCTAGGACTTTTTGATAGAAGTGGCAACGCCGCAATTTTAGATCGATAGAACAGGTAAGGAAATGTGAGAGATGGAATTTTCAGAAAAATCATGCTTTGCGTTTTCCAGAAACTTCTAACCTACCATCGACCGTGAGTCACGCTGTATAGATTCAAAAAATTAAAATAGATACTTGACATCACTTACCTGAAAATGATATACTACTCTCTCGTTCAGTCAATACTACAATACGCCATTCTCAGCTGGGGTGGGTGGTTCAGTTAAAACCCATTTGAAGCAGTTGGATGTCCTCCAAAAAAGAATTTTGAAAATAATCTATTGCAAAAACAACTACTCCTTCCTCACCGATAAAAAAATTTGTGCTAATTGACATAACATTACGTTGGCCACAAATGGTGGCCCTCCGCAGTATGCAGCTCCAGTGCGACAATTTTTGGAAGATCATCTTCCTGGTCGCTGGATTGGCAAAAGAGGTCCTACAAAATGGCTACCACGGTCTCCGGATCATACTCCTTTAGGTTTCTTTTTATGAGGTCATTTGAAATCTAAAGTGTATGAGA